TCAAGTATCTTAATCAATTCAAAATTATAAATAAGAGCAATCTAATATTGCAACAAATTATATCTATTTTCAAAAGGAATATTAAAATCAAATTGTAATGTCTCGTAATTATTTATTGGTCTTATTGTGTATCCTTTTCTATACTGAACATCTAAAATTGTAAAATCATTATCTAAAAAAACAATGTTCATTTTAAACTATTATGATTTTTAATATTTTGAGGCCACTACAGTCCACGCTTAAATACTATATGGTTTAATAGTTATTTTAGGGATGATTTAAATTGTATCTGTTTTATTTACTTATATAATCTTATTATTAGCATCTTTGCAAATACTATTCAGTGTTAAATCAACACAGCTTACTTCTATTTTAATTTCTTGATCTTCATTCCATTCATACAAAGTATCAAGATCTCTGCATTAAATATTAATAATTGAATCTTTTCTATAATTTTAAATCTTATTTGTTCCATTAAATTAACATAATAAACCTCCTTATTAAATTTCAATGGTTACATTTTGATAAGTTGAAAAATTTATTGAAGGTTCTAATGTTACCATTTAAAAAGTATATGCAGTTCTAGGGGTTAATTTATAAGTCTAAATTGTATAATTAAAATAATTTTCACGAATTTTGGCTGAATAATCTACTCTTGATGATCTAGAATTTGAATTATTTCTGGAAATTTCTATTAATGATACTTAATATTAAGTATTGTCATTCTAAAGTTCATTTGAACCAGAACAATCTTTTTTCTAAATTTTAAACCGTAAATCAATAATTTCAAATGTATAATATTATTTCTTTCCTTACCACAAAACTGTAGGAAATTATCCAGAATGAGTTTCAACTTTAATTTAATATTATGCTGATTTCTTTAAAAAATTTTGAATATCAACAAAAAATATTATTTTAGATTATTTTGGTAGAGTTTAAATTGGAATTATTAAATCTAATAATTGTAGTTTGGTTTAATCAAATAAAAACTCTTCAAGATCACCATTTCCATTTTCCCCTTCTACTATATATGACCATGATATGCTCATTAAATTTCTAAGCCCATCTTAACTTTTTGATTTAACAACAATAGTGTTATCATCACATGGATTAAGTAAGTATTAAGGTATATCATATACAATGATTGGTGATACTGGATTTAAAGGAAAACCAACGTTATTCAAAATAAATTTATTTAATTTGGTTTAGCATTCTATATGGCCAATTGAATTAGCTAATAATATTATAGAATCTCCAGGAAGTATGGCTGCATTTGAACCTAATTACAAAATTAATTATTTATAATTTTCTTAATTTAACTTACAATTAGGGTTATTTCCTAATAATTTAATTGTTTCATCAGCTAAAAATTTAGAGCAAATATTTT